GGGGTAGTTCTTAATATGAAGTGAACATTAGCAGCTCTTCAGAAAGCTTAGGACTTTCTACATGCGGCGCTGACCATGAATGACACAGCTCGAACCATTCATATGATGCAGCGACTTGGCCTTTAGCGTCGCCGTGTTTTGTGCCCAAGAAACACACACCTGTTCTAGTCGTACATGGACTTGCAAGAGGCAGAGGGTCCATTTATGGGGTATGCGTCTGGGTTCTTCTCTGAAAGTTCTGAATTAAGAGGCTCCACTGCAATATTGGCTCAGGACCGCCATCGATGTTGCACGCGTGGAGCGAGCAATCATGCACGTTAGTCGAGGCCTTAGTATTTGCACGGGAAGGTAAATAAACCGTGGCAGATCCTTCGTTCTCAGTACCACCGATCCGCTTATACTGCAGGCTTTCGGGGCTTGGTTGCTTCCGGTGCTGCAAAACCATGCCTCGTAGCCTCGCTAAAAGAGTGTGGTCACTTCCCTTAGACCTGAAAGCATACGTTAATGATGTGTATAGGATAACAGAAGCTCCACGAGAGAGCACGGCACGACTTTAATTTCCTCAGCGCGAACAGTAGCGAGGAGCGCGTTTTAGGTTTACCTGCCCAACTGAGGTGCGAAGCAGAATGCGCTCCTCAAGAAACTTGGTCTCAGAACCCTGGAGGCCACAGTCTCTGCTGTTTAATGTTCATGTGGCCTGTTTGAAGGCCAGCCTTGTTTTAAACTTCACTTCCCGTGCTGCAGCAGCTGGGAATTTGCACCTGTTGCAATTGCTGTGATCGGGGCTGCTTGCCCACGCTTGATGCAAGAGCCTGGGTGTTTTCTTGCCAACTGATCCCCGATTTAGTTTTCTACTCGATGGCATGTATCCAAAACAATCTACTGATTTGCCAATACTGGTTTGTACGGGTAATGTCTTGCTACTTGCTGATTCCTTGCATGAGGAATGGCAAGGTGCAACTTCAGCAGGGTGGAAAGGTTTGCATTTCTTAGGAATAATTTTCTAAATAAGGCGCAGGACCCCACAAGGCTGCGCTACTCAGTTTTTGGGCTCGTTTTACCATGCAAAAAGCAGCTCGTTTGGGACATTGCAGGTTTCTTCGTTGCTCCCCTTCACGTACTGTACTTTCTTTCTGGCGACAAGGAAAACATCTCTAAAACAGGGCTTCGCCCAAACTGACGTGGAACTCCGTACGTACTATAGTCTAAACTCCTTAAAGGGTGTTATTTTAGGGGATTGGATAGGAGTGTATTATAGGGTATACTAAGGGGGGTACGAGGAGTCTAGACTATTTAATCTCACATAGCCCAGTTTTGAAAGGGACATTTTTTAAAAGCACCCCTTTTGAGGTTCCATGTCAGTTTGGGGAGGGTAAAATCTGCTTGAGAGATGTCCAGGACCCTATGGTAGTTTCCATACATAGGGGACCCCAATATAGACCCCCAAAAAAGGATCCTTATTATAGGGATTCCCAGAAAGGTACCCCTAATTAGTAGTCCCTGTGAACCCAGTTTCCATCTCATTGTCCATTTTCTTTTCATTTGATTGACCACTATAGGGGTAAAAGGTACCCCTAATTTTGGGAACCCCCCCTTGCAGCGTGGCAATCATCCCTGCGCTCTGGGGTGCTGCACGGGTCAAAGAGGGCGGCGGCAGGGGCACCAGAAAAGAATATACTTTAGTAGGGTAGAAAATACAAGAACATGTTATAATATGTTATAATATACTATAATATAGCTGGAATCATACAGAAGCTAGCTGGAATAAGCTAAAAGAATGCCGTGTCCTAGCCCTTCGCACCCCTCGCCACGGTCGGAACCTCTAAGCTTCTCATGGCTCGAGCTCTTGGATCTGCCGACGCGCTGAAGACCAGTGCCTTTCCGCAGAGATTCCTTCCCTTCCGGTCTGCAGAAAGCTTCAGGCGCCAGACAGCCCTGGAATAAAAAGAAAGAGCATATCGGGAGCCTGTAGAACTTTGCAGGATTTGTAGCATCTGGCTTCATTGGTAGAGTCTGAAATGGTGAGAAATAAGAGACCGTCAGGCTCATGGCAGACTCTCCATCAAAACAAGGCCCTCCGCAACCCCAGAGTCAAGGATTCCTAAAAGGAGCAGGTTGGCTTTCCTACTTTAAAGGGGCCTCAAGAACCTTCTTCATAGAATCCCAGCTGTTCCTATTCATTTTTCTGTAAGCTTCATATCACATTCCCTTGACAAGAAGCTCGAACTAATGATGCATATTCCTGCTGTTCTTTGTCAGTAACATGTTAATTTCGGGAGCTCCGTAATCTAGTTTGAGCTGCTGCATATGGTGCATGGATGATGGCCTCGCATGTTCCCAACTCCACACCCCAACGCCCTAAACTAAACTCTGAGCACATCCTGCAGGCCGGTATATGCACGCTGCTTAGGTTGCTAAGGATCCAGTAAGCGGGATCCTCCCTGAGTTTTTTAGGGATGGCAATCCGAGGACATGCAGTTGGCACGAGGATCAAAATCCGCCTGCGACCATGACCAAGCCAACAGATGTAGCATTAGCGCGAGAAAAGCTGAAATTTTTGCCTACCAAGAGCAGCTTCTGTGGTTGCGCATGCGTGTGGGCCATGTCTCTACCACTTCATGTGAGATGGACGGAGTCATGTAAATCCCTG